TAGTGTTCTGTCTGAGGACAGGTCCATATGAACAGGATCCTTCCATCCTTTTCTCGGACTGGGACCTGTTCATATACGTTCTTGGCAGATGATCCAGAAGTGGTTTGCCATTGCCTTCTTCTGTGTGTGAATGGGATACCACGGAGAAACCGGGGAAGCCCTCGGAGGAAAACTCCGTGTTGCCTAGACCACGGCCTTGCCCAACACAAGTTATAAATTCGGGCACCGCCGAGAATCGAACCCGAGACTCCATGATTACAAGGCCAGCGTGGCTATATACGACACTTATCAGGTGAGTTATGTAAGTAATGAACTCTAGGTAAAACAAGACGCCTTGCCTTTCTAAACTGACGACTAAATAAACAAAATTATAATCTAATCTCTTGTTTTATACGAGCCTGACATTTGATGTCTGACAGAGAAGACAATGACTGGGTGTATTAAGTCTTCTCGCACGGCTTAGTCTGGTAAAAGTTTGCCGACGTTTCGGAGGTGTTTGCTGCTTCCATTATCTAATCGCATTGACTATCGAGGCAGCAAGTACGTTTAAACTTTCGTAAAATTCGACCACAGTACACGGCACAACAAACCAGAAGACAGTCATTTTCATACTCGCTTCCGTGAGAACCTCTAATCTCACCTAGCCCAAAACTAGATAACTCGTACAATGTCATAATCGCGGAAGCTTTGAAAATTTGACGGATTGGCAGATAATAAACTGAATATTGACAATAATCATAAATTAGAGTTGCACACACACAACCTTAAGATTCACTAGCGATGGTGATAACGACATTGCAAGATGTGTCCTTTTGGAAATAATCCAAAGTAGAAATGTCACTTTGGTCTCATGACAGCTGACATGTCACATAAATTCCCAATAGATGGCAAACCCCCCACAGTAGCGCGCGTTCTACAGACGAAACTGAGCACAAAAAGGAGCACGAAACGGACGGACGGACGGAAGAAGACAGAGCGTTGTGTTGTACCGGGAACATCACCAATATTACCTTTCTAGGAAACAGTTGGGGCTGTGCTGATTTTTGATATGGTATTGTGGTATATCTAATAGCCAGACAGCCATACAAATGCAGAAGACGCGTGTCTGGATTCTTGAGAATAAAAACGGATGTGATATCCACCCCTCTGCCACAAGCATTACTTTGTATGACACATATTGGGAGGCCATAAAATGCATTACCATCGACTCATAAGTGACACAGACAATTCTTCCGTTCTTTCTTCTGCATTAACTGAGGCTAAGTGCCGTGCTCTAAAACAACAAAATCGGTAAGCGGCCACCAGAAGGTCCATAATCAAACAATATCATTAATATAAAGGAGTATAGTACAGTAATAAGAAAGTCCTTGATACATTAAGAAATTTAACAGCTCAAAAAATATTATACACATAACAAAGCTGTTTTTATTAGATAGGATAACTCACAAGAGATTCCTTTAGTTAACCTCAGAAGTCTAAAGTACATCTAAATAATATTTAAAAATTCAGATCTTACCTAGAAGAAAGCAACATCTCCACTACAAGAATAAACTCACATGTTATTCCAGGAAAGTGTAAACGTTTATGGTGAGAACCATATGAAAGCAACAAATACGATGTGTAGGCAAAATTCATGCATTTATTAACTGAGTTCTCTAGACAGAAGACAGTGCCCAACACCGGGTTTCTGCAGACTGTGGGTTGTTGCGCCCTGATGACGGAAGAGCATGACCTCTGAAACGTCAGTAAACTTCTACCAGACTACACGGCGGAACAACCCAGAAGACAGCAATCTTTCAATGCATAGCTTCCACTGAGCACATAACAGCTGTCCATGCCTCAAACCATCGCCATGTTTATTATGTTTAATATTCAGAAATTCTTCACATAAAATTTGTGGCTATACTCAAGAACTATTACCACATTAAACACAATGTACTTGCCTTAGAAATGTCACTAATGGGAACTTTCAAGACGCAAACGTAGATGGGAGGAAAATGTTGAAATATGATCTCACAGAAACAGATGTAAGCTACGGGTGTCCACTGGATTCATGTGGTTCAGTACAGGACCCTTGGCGAATTCTTGCAAACATGTTAATGAACCTTAGGACCCCATAAACAAGTGATATAACGCCTAGCGGAACAATTTTCAGTGTCTTATGGAGTCTGTTAAATAGAGTGAGTGAATGAATTAGTGTCGTTCTCATCTAAGAGTTCCCACGGCCGGTATGTTGTTTTATAGATGACAGGGAATTCAATACATAAGCCTCAAATTGCATGATTTACGTAAGTTTCATAAGAATTCGTCGCTGGCTAGGAATTTGTTAGGATGGAACATACGCACACATGCGCGTACAAGCATGGAGGCATAAGGAATGTTGTACATTCTCGGTCAAGATAAGAACAGACTATTCGATCTGCAAACCTGCCACAGTGCAGGGAGGACAAGCCCGTCGTTATTGTCCGAGAAAACTGGCAAGACTTATATCGTACTTGCTTACAACAAGTCTGAATGCGGAAGAGTGATGCCAAATGCGATACAGACACACTGTGACTGATGGCAGGCGATGGCAGAATACTAAAATATGAGCTACTTCTAGCCAGCAATGCCATCTGTTGCGGGGCGGATAGAAACCCAACTCATCTGAAGTCATTTCGTAACCAGCCCTCCGAACCCTCGCCCGAACCACCCAAGTCAAAGTCAACTAAAAAAAATGACAGCCAACAAAACAGAAATCAATTATCATTCTTTGCTGTTGTTTCCAAGAGCCAGAAAAGCTTAAAAAACATGGATTTAAAGTCATGTGCATTGGTTAAGCTTTGATTTCATGCCTGACATACGCACCGAATTAATGCTGTGTGTGGAACATGGTAAAACAAAAGTCCTCTGGTACGTAAGACACATTACAAAGCCAGCTATAGCAATAACTACACTGTAAAAGGGTAGTACACTGAAACTCGCCACGACGCGGGCGGTGACGTCAGCTGGTTGCGACGATGATTACACGGTGCAAGAAAAACTACTGGATCTTACTATAAAGAAATAATAACGGTAACATATCCAAGGTCAATGTTGTGACCCCAAAATCACTTCGGTTCCAATAATTATCTCCATTCTGGGGTCCACCTAGCCTCAGCCTCCTATCGAGTAGATACGTGTAAAGAGGCTGAAGGGTGAAGCTAACCTCTCACCTCCGAGGTTAAGAATGCGTGGCGTCATACCTCCACACCTTCATACGTCTGCACTGCGTGGTGCTTTGAAAAGAACAAGGTGAAATTTTTCGTTTATAATTTCCTTTCAGTAAAGTGGCTTCTAATTAGGTGGACGACCAACCAGGAGCAAAGGCCTTCCTCTTCGCCACCCTTCGTCCAGACCGCCCTGTGAGACACCCAGCCTCCAACTCAGTGTGGGCCAAGGGCTCATTTCCCCCTGGTAAAGTAGATGGAACGTGAAGATGACCTCGCCTACATCTACGCGCGGATGCTTGGCTCCATTCCACACGCCTTCAAGCCGTCGTACGGTGACCATCTTGCCTTCACCTTTACAACGCAATCTGTCACAAACATCTGATGCGCAGTTCACGAAGTCAAGGACTTATTACAATGGCCATCTCCAACACTGCGATTACTGGTTAATAAAATGTAAAGTAAAGCTGGACCACTATACGCCATGTAGGCACTTGGGGGGAGTTGAGGTATAGCTCCTACTCATTCTTGACCTCGGCACTAGATGGGGTGAGTGGTCAGCATCACTCCGTGGCCGGCTTTACCCCCGGGAAAGGACCTCGGTACCCATTGTACTGTTGTTAAATACAACTCAGATAAATTGGGATCTTCCGAATAAGTTAATGTATTATGGGGTAATTTCACAATCTTACGTCCTCCAGAAATCAAAGCAAATTCATCCACAACTACACCTACATTGAACCGAGGGAAAGGAACGCAGATTCCAAAGTCTCAAATTTTAACGCGAACTTGTCTTCATGGCGCTGTAATTATTACAACTGGCGTGGATGATATTTTACTAACCGGGTTCAGGTAATGAGTCACTAATTTTAACTTGCTGGAAAAGCTACTATAAAAATTATGTGGCACTGAGGTTCGATATTAAGTCATTGTTTAATTTTATTTTGCTGACTTAAACAAATAACCAGTGTGAACCAAAGAATCTTAAACCTACCAACTATCAAGAGTCCTACACGCATCAAATATCCCGTGTGAGTGGAATGTGTTACATTCTGTCAGAACTAAACTTTATTCAACAGGCGGTTCGGTCGGAAACACACAGAACTGAGGTGCACTTGCAAACACAACTGTCGAGTGAGTTAGTCTACGCATTTATCTAACGACATCAAGCCCCCAAGAACACGATTCAAAATCAGGCATAATCAATGCGTACTACAAAACATACAACAAGATCTTCCTCCTTCCTTATTGAATAAAAGCAAAGTGTACTTCCACTCTGCATCGGAACAACTTGCGTTCAGTCGTCATTGTTTTCCGATCTGAACAGTAGTTTCATCTCCTTTTGCTCCAGACTCAGCGCCATATTTGGATAATCGAAATTCAATTAAGCCATTAGGGAGCGGGGAAGGAGTTCGCTGAGTGGGTGGGGTGGTACCAGAAGGGGACAGAGGGGGGGGTGGTAAGAGGGTAAAGGCGGAGGGTTTGATTTATTGGACCGGTTCCTGCCGATGACATCACCACCATAGGTTATCTCTTAATAGCTGCACTATCCATAACTTACTCCAGGAAACAAACATAACTTTTGCCGAAATGTAAAAGATTTTGGGAATTATAAATGATCAAGTGAGAGAGTACGGTCGGAGGAGGTTAAGAGAACAAATGACCTCCCACATTAAAGGTTTCTAATACATTACATCTCTGGGTTTGTTGGCTCAAGATACGTGAGGATCGCTTATAATCTATGGCTAAGAACGTCTGGCATTCCAATGCAGATCACAGCCACCTTCTAAACTCACCTACGCTAATTACTGTACTTTGCTGAATAAATTATGGCCTCACACACCTATAAATTTTAATCAAAATTCAGTAAAATATAATCGATGAAATTAGTGCATTTGGAACAACGGACGGCCATTAAACAGTGTTACGAATTCAAACCATAACAAATAAATCCTTATGAGAGATAATTCAGTCAATAAGTATTATCCCGAGTTGCTGAACTCTAGAAAACTTGTGGCCAGACAAAATGATTAAGGAGATAAGAGTAACAAAATATTTGTTTTCGGGTGATATGTGCCCTTTTCGGAATGTCAGTGACTGAACACAAAATTCATAGAAGCAACTTCATAGATTTTCTATGAAACAAGAGAATTTTGTGTTCTATATCACAAGCAACACGATGGTATTTCTTTTGACTAAAGAAAACAATTCGGAGAGGAGATCTTGTTTTGTTCTTAAAACCGTCGAAAAAAGACACGCAAGGCACAGAGACACATCTACTTGCAATTCAATTTTTATATGAATAAGATTCTCTAATAAATCACAGAAGAACAGCCAGACAAACTTTCTCATGCAATTTCATTCTTGGAGTAACAGCGTCTTAACACGTCAAGTCCTATTACATAAGCTCCAAGATTTATCTTCAAAATTTTAGTTTTAATCAAAATCGAACATTAAGACTGAAACCACGCCGAAAATGAACTAATTTTGTAAATTGATTACTGAGCTATGCAACGATCAGCGTCTAGTGATAGGACAGCAGAAAAATGCTAGTAGGCACTTCTAAGATACTTACAGCCCGCCAGTATGTGTCTCCACAGACTGAAGACATTTCAGTTGAGCCAGTCGTTCTTCAAGTCGAGTTTCGAACCAGGAACCTCACAAATACAAAGGAGTGATATCATTCGACCGCAGCGCTTCGGTTATTTTTTGTAATTTAGCGTCAATTGCGAAAACAAATCTGTTAGCGACTAATTTCATACAGCAGAGTCCTTGAGAACCTGATAATCGCTCAGCTGGTCAGCGACTGGGATTGACTCATTCTAATGGACTCCACAGAGTAGGGGCGTCTTCACTACACCTGAAGACAAGGACATATCGAGTTCTCGAAACATTGTAATTTTTACAACAGACGATGGACAACGTCGAGAAACCCAAACAATCCAGATATAACCGTCTTCAGAAGGCTACTATCCTGAGCCAGTTGAATGAGGCCCACCCTCAAACCGTATTTCCCTAGGAACTATTATAATATTAAATCGGACTAACTAACTAACTAACTAGATGGCTTAGGGAACTCTAAGGTTCATCACCGAATTAACCAAAGCCCTGTCCTGGGCCAACAAAATCCAGTCTCCTTCAGCTCCTATCTCCCATAGATCCCGCCTGAGATTATCCTCCCATCTACGTCTAGGTCTCCCCAGCGGTCTCTTCCCCTCAGGCTTCCCAAATAGTGGACCCAACCAACCAGATGGCTTACGGAACCCGAAGGTTCATCACCGAATTAACCAAAGCCCTCCACCGGACCCTGTCCTGGGCCAACAAAATCCAGTCTCCTTCAACTCCTATCTCCCATAGATCCCGCCTGAGATTATCCTCCCATCTACGTCTAGGTCTCCCCAGCGGTTTCTTCCCCTCAGGCTTCCCGATGGATACCCGGTGCACACCTCGCGCCCCATCTGTGCGTGCCACATGCCCTGCCCATCTCATTCTTCTTGATATTGCTGAAGTTTAAAATTTGGTTGACAGCTTGAAAGAATAAGTAAGCTCTGAGTGACATGGGTGACTATGAAACAGCTCGTTTTGTAATTTTATCACTTCTGTTTAATTGCAAATACTCTTTAGAAATTTGTTTCCAATGCGTTCAGGCCTTAATCTTGTCTCTGAATCAGAAATGAAGTTCAGCATCCAAAGAAGATTTTAATTTTAGTTGGGAAATGACACCGTGATGCTGGATTTAGAACTGAAGGATAGCGTACGTTTTGCAAGCTGCTGCTTTCTCGGCTTTTCAGCTTCTTCTGAGGTTCAGAAAGTAAATGGGCTGAACCATTTATGTAACTGAGAGGAGCTTGCGTTTTCTGAGCTTATCGTCATAATTTTATCACAACTTACTCTTTAACTCCATAAATAATTATAATAATGAAATAAGGATGTGATTACTACTGTCACCTTACATTACACTTCCTTGCTTTTTTGTATCACAAACATGAAACTCTGACACTACATGAATGCGTGCCTTTGACATTTGTCATGTGGGAACAGGACAGTTAAGCGCCCAAAGTATTGGAGCGGTGCCTATTTTGCTATGCGACATGTACATTGTGATATGTCTGGCAGCGGAATTGGAAAAACCTCTGTTAATTTGCCACTTTCCGCTTCACTTATTCTTCATCTGCAAAGTGGCCTATTACCACGTAAGATCTGAGATTTTCACATCGGTGAGTATGAAGATTTCCGTCTTCTGGGTTGTTGCTCTGTGTAGTCTGTTCGATGTTAACCAACGTTTCAGAGGTCATACTGCCTCCATCATCAGGGCGATGACGGAGGCATTGGTAAACATCTACCAGACTACACAGCGCAACAACCCAGAAGACAGATATCTTCTGGCCTATTACCGACTGAATTTCCTTATTTCACGTGGGCAGTTTGTAGTTTGTTTTGCGAGTTCCACTGATGGAGACAGTCAAAGGAGGGTACTAATTGATTTCAAACCATTGTTAAACATGTACTGTTCCAGTAGTTTTTTTATTTCTTTAAATACGCCCACAAGAAGATTTTATAGATTATTTTATATCATCATATGATGTTACAGAAGTGGTTGCTCCGAATGAACTGACATCCAAGGATTTACTGTTGCAAGACCTGGAAGAAGCTTTTAAAAAAAAGGCCAGAGATAGTAGAATCTTGGCGGACGAGGTTGTAGTGAAGCAGAGAGAAATCAACAAACTGAAAAGAGACAGTATGTATGGTTTAAATCTATGTGTGTTATAAGGTGAACAGTATAGACTATGAATCTCCTCAATTATAGCGTTACTGTGTATTTTAGAAGTCTACATGTTCTCCCTGTCACTCTCTTCTAGCCAGTTTAAATATTTCAGTAAAATCATCTCGGGCTATCTGCCGCGTCAGACGGTTATAAGACGAAACTGTCGTCTCAGGGACCATCGCTATCCCCATCATCAGAGTTCTGTGGGTTCTGATGTCAGAACCTTGATGATGGGGACAGAGATAGTCCCTGAGACGATGGTTTCGTCTTTCATCCGTCTGACGCGGCAGATCCCCCGAGATGATTTTATTGAGTTACGTCGCCACGAAAGCTCACAAAGCATATATCACTTTCAATATTTGTTGTTCTTTCTTGGTTAGAGGTAAAGTTATGCATTTCAACAAGGAGAGAGGTAACTGTGATATTATGAATGACTTCAGCTTTTGAGGGATGAACCATGTCAAATATTGAAAATTAATCCAGTGTTTTGAAAAAAAATTTCATTTGCCATTTTCACCGTGAAGAAGAATGGCATTGGTAGACGAAACATGGGAAATTTTTCAACATTTGTTGTGGCGAATTACTGAAAGCTGAAGTTGTGTAGTGACAGCTAACCACAAAATATAAGGGACAACACTGACATTTTGTTACATTTTTCACATTAATGTGACTTGTATTTGTGGCGTGCGTAGAATCGGTCACATGTCCCAAAACAAAATAAAAAAGATTTCTTATTCATGATGTACTACAGTGGTCTAGCAGTTAGAACGCTGGCCTTGTAATCCTGGGGTCTCGGGTTCGATTCCCGGCGGTGCCCGAAATTATAACTTGTGTTGGGCAAGGCCGTGGTCTAGGCAACACGGAGTTTTCCTCCGTGGCATCCCAACAATTACTCCATTCACACACAGAAGAAGGCAATGGCAAACCACTTCTGGATCATCTGCCAAGAACGTATATGAACAGGTCCCAGTCCGAGAAAAGGATGGAAGGATCCTGTTCATATGGACCTGTCGTCAAACAGAACACTAATTAAATTAATTCATGATGTGACACTGGATGGGCATGTCATTGATATGTCCCTTAAAATATGTGGATTTTAACCTGTTGTTGAGTGTTACATTATGTTTCTGTTGTGAATTCTGGTGTGAAGAGAAATGTAGATGTACTGTGTTTTCTGTGTTTAGTTCAAGATCCATTTTAGTTACTTATTTTGTTTTCTGATTACAACTGAGAATAACTTTGTACATGTTTGTCAGATGCCATTGCATATCTTGCGCTTCGTAAACTAGTGACAAGATGACACTTGGTTCCTTGGGTCCCGCACGGTAAATGCCGTTTTTTGAAAATGTACGCTGTTCAAGAGCCAGACTGTGTAGTGCCAATGCAAGTTGTTCATGAAGATTAATTTTTCCTGATGCGCAGTATTCAAGTCAGAGTCGTAAAGACTGCAAATTCCTCTTTGTAATTTACTGCGTCATTACATACTACGACAGAAATGGAAATTGACGCTTTGGATGGCTTGAAACATTTTATATGTTCTTCGTGGGTGCACATCTTAATTTTGTTGTTTTCTGAAATACCCTCAGAAGAGGAATTACACATAGTGCCATGAATTGTTACAGAGGAAGAGTTGAGAGACGATATTCTTGCTCTACAACGTAAAGTTAAGGAACGTGAATCTGATATTTCTGCTCTGACCATGGGGAGTAGGCTGTTAAATACGAAGGTGTCGGAGCAGGAGAAGAAGATATCTGAAATGAACACAGAAAGTATGTATATTCTTAAGATAGTGTAATTGCGTCATATTGTGAATATTCTAACAATTATTTATTTTAATCCGTCTTATCACAATATTTAAAATTTCTTATAATTAAGATAATAAAATATCATTGATGTTCCATATCGATTGATCGATTTACATTTTGGAACATTTACATTTACATTTATGTTCCAAAATGTAAATCGATCAATCGATATGGAACATCAATGATATTTTATTATCTTAATTATAAGAAATTTTAAATATTGTGATAAGACGGATTAAAATAAATAATTAT